GCCGGCCTTCCCACAGCCGGCTGCCGACCGGCTCCCCCCTTGTAGAAGGCGAAAGACCCGTGTCGGTTGTATAGTCCATGGGCGGCCCCTCGGCGAGTGTGTGCCCCGAAGTCCTAAGTGTGCGGAAAACGGACGGCGTTGCGAGGGATCGCCCCCTCTCTTGAGGTTTTTAAACCCCTCCTGCCGTTTATGGGAAGCGTCTGGAAAGAGTCACCTCCCATGCCCCCCGGAGAGGCCAGCCGCCCAGAGGGGGAGACGAAGTCCGGCCGCCGCCCGAGGGTTTACGACCCCTCCAACAAGTCGCGCGGGCGGGGGGGGGGGGCTGGCGGTTGTGGGGCCGTGGGGTTGCGCGTGCGGTGGGTGCGGTGGGTGCCTGGGCCATCCACGTGGCCTCGGAGGCAGGAGGGTCGCCCTCGTCACCGTAGTAATGTCTCCACACCGCCAGTGAGAGCATGCGGATAGAGCAATACGTTGGAGGGGTTGCAATCCTCGGGCGGCCGCAGGACTCCGTGGTGGTGGGTGGCGGTTGGGGGGTCTGGGGAGGGCTGGTGGCACCCACCTCCATCACCGACGTCTCGACGCTCTGGCGAGCCTACGCGAGGAAAGAGAGGGAGCGCGTGGTGCGAAGGGTGGGGGCCGGATATGCAGCGGCGCGACTGCGTCTCGCATCGGCTCCCTCAGCATAAGGTTTCAGCAATTTCTTGGCGGGGCCAGTTTCAGGGTAATTTGGTTCAGTAGATCCTTCACCGGGAGCGGAATGTGCGTGCGGATTTGAGTCTTCCGCGCCGGCGGCGGCGAGGCCGCAGGGGTGGCGAGGCAAGCTGCGGCGGTGCGACTGGACCTGTTGTGTGCCCTCCCGCAGCAGCGAAAGGAAGAAATTTTTCTGGCGAAGGGCAGGTGGGGACCCTGTCCTTTCTCCCACCCCCTTGTTTGGTGTGTCCATTTTCCGTCGTAACTTATTTATCGCTCGTCGAATGCGAAACCAGTTCGCTCGCGACGCCGCCGCCGCCGCCGCCGCCGGAACGACCGACCGCGGCGGCCGGTCGAGCGGCCGCCCCGGCCAGCGGCCGTATCGAGCCTGCCCGTCGCGAAGGTGCCCCTTCGACCTCGCCTCGCTGCTTGGTGTTTCTGAACTAGTGGGGGTTGTGTGCGGGTTGTGTCTGGGAGGGAGGGAGTGAGTGGGGTGCAGGTTTGCTCACCCACGGCACCGGGAGCACTTGGAGCACTTGGAGTCCGGGCCGGTGCTTTTTTTTGTGTTGTCCGGTGCTTGCACTTTGAGTGCCGTGGGGCTCCTGCCCGTGTCCGGGCGTGGAGATGCGAGGGTCGCCCCCCCTTGCCCCACCACTTTGTGTGTGTGGAGACGTTTACGTGTACCTTACCTCACCTGGACACGGAAACACACACACAGGATTCCGTGAACAACTGTGCGTCGGAGCGTCCGGGAACGTGGCCTGGGGCTACGCCTGGGGCTACGCGTGAGCAGGCACATCGCAGCCCCCGGCCACACCGCCTCGCTCCCCTACCGCCGCCGCACCCGCCACCGCCAGCGCGGTAGACAGCCGACCCACCAAGCGGGCATGCTCGCAGGTGAGAGGTGTGACTGATGATTGACTCTGTGACTGCCTCCTGCTCACACGGGCGCCCAAGCATTTTCGAGCCTCCCGTCCGACGCGCTGCCGAGGCTGCCCTTCACGTGTGAGGGCCACACAACCTCCTACGAAGGCGAGACGGTGACGGGGTACACGAGCTCTTACGAGACGGAGAACGGCGTCACCACATGCTGCGATCAGGCACGCGCGAACGGGGCGATTTGCGGTTTTGAAGTTGTATGGCTCGACCTGCGTCCAGTACCTCGGGACACGTTGCACCCTCGCGCCTGCCCCCCGCTGGCTCTCTGATACACTCCCCGGACTCCGCGAGCGTCAAAAACAGTGCGGCAGTCGTCGACGGGCAAGCGTATCCGATTATCCAATCGAATGGAGACTTTGACGAGGCCGCTGGCGCAGAATCGATTGCCCAATCTAATGGAGACTTTGACGAAGCCGCTGGCGCAAGCTCCTATCGTCCCTCTCCCGGCGCGATCAAGGTGTCATTGTGTATCACAGCCCGGTGTAGTGCCTCGGTAACCGCAGAACTTCCAAAGAGCGTCATGAAAGGACAGGCACTGCAACTGGAGGCATTTTTGACGAAATCACCGGCTGCACTTACTTCAATAGAAAGGCTGCTTAAGTAAGGGGAATCAGCCTGCAGTAAGTAAGTATTCATTCATGGAAAAAAAGCTTGCAGAGATAAGGGGGAGCAAACGTGATTAATTTTGTATGTATCTCACTCAGGGAAGAACAGTCTGTGGCGCAAACGCGAAACGCTCCTGCCATCACAGTGCTCGGTCGGTTCATCTCTTTACACTTTAGCGGTGTGCTGCTAACAGCGTATGGGCAGGCAAGACACATCGACAAATCTCGAGCGTGACAAGAGTGCTCCAGAGCGGTCCAGAGATCCGCCAACCTCATTCGAAGCACAATGCTAGCTCTCCAGATGCCCTTCCCGCGCCACGACCTCTTCGACCTGGTCGACGCATTCGCGCACACCCCGCCACGCTGCCACTCCTCCGAGCTCCGCGAGACCGAGGACGCCTTCCACCTCGCGTTCGAGGCGCCCGGCGTCCTGCCGTCGGACGTCGACATCACGTTGGACGAGGGGGTGCTCCGCGTGAGGGGTGAGTCCAAGGTCGAGCGCAGCGGCCTCAACTACTGCGGCAAGATCCACCGTGCTGTTGCTTTGCCCGCTGAGCGCATCGACCCAGAGAAGGTGCAGGCCACGCTGGAGCACGGCTTGCTGCACGTGACGGTCCGCAAGCGGGCGAGGGCCGAGCCCATCAAGGTTCGGGTTGCGACAAGCCAGCCCGCCGCCGAGGAGAAGGCCGATGGCACCACCGCCGCCGAGGACGACGCGATGGACGGCGTCCAGTGAGGCGCCCCGTGTGCGCGGCGGCCGGGGCCGCGGCGCGCGCCCCAAGCGCGCGCGCCATATAGAAGTCTTGATACTTGAAGTGTGTGGGTCTGTGCTCTCTGACTCTGTGGTAGGGGGTACTGTGCAGTGAAATAGTCGTGGTGCGCTGTGTGAGTACCAGAAAAATGCAGGGCTTAGCGCCCAGAGCTCCACGGGACCACGCTCAGTGCCAAAGGAGCCGTCGCCCACCCCCCGCCGCGACTACTCGCTGCTCCCGTCGGAGACGCCGGCGCAGGCGCCGTCTCCGGCGAGTGCCTAGGCGACTAGCGGAGGCGGAGGCGGCGACTGCGACCAGTCGAATCAAGGTGGGGAGAAAAAGAAACAAAGTCTCCCCCGCTCAAGCCCGCCGTCGACCTCTTTGCTAACGCCGGCTCCTCGGCCGCCGGCCCCTCAGCCGCGTCCCCCCACGCCGCATAGGCACCAGCAGGGCCCCCGCACCACACCCGCACCACATCGCACTGTTCCGAACGGGGCTCGGGGGTCGAACTCTCGAACCACGGGGCGAACTCTCACGGACGGGGGGAAAGTCACTAAGTTAGAGAGTAGTAGGTAGCACGCCAAGCCGGTGCGGCTCGACCACAGTGGGGGAGGTGCCTGTGTCACCTAGTTGTGTACGGACGATGTATGTATGTAGAAAGATGAACAACAGTCAGGCTCGGACTGGACACCAACGCGGTATGGGTGGACGCGGGACAGATGATGACGACACGCACGAGCGACACACAGACACAAACAGGCTCACAAGACACACAGCCAGCGGGCTGCCACACACCCTGAGTTGGCGTACACATAACTCAGGGCCACATTCTCCCGGTCGCCCCCCCCCAGCACGAGAGCAAAAAAAGAATGATGTCCCAGCGTCCTGGTCGCGTCCCAAGCTGAGGACCTGCTGCCGCGTCTTGCAGTCGTGTCGAGGCCGCGGACAACCGCGTCCCACGCCGACACGTGCACGCAGCCACCATGATCCAGTTCGACGAGCACGGCTTTCGCCGCCGGGTGGAGGAGGCTTTGGTCACGCTGCAAAAAGTGCTGCACTCCACGCGTCGGCCGACCTTCGCACTCGACGTACCGCACTCGTACGAAGATAAGTACCTTCTCGCCGAGTTTGTTACCAACTGTGGCCTCGCCGCGCAGTGCACCTGCCTCGAAGCGCTTGGCGTGGGCACCCAACAGCTTGCCACGCTCGTCGAGTGGAGCGCGAGCGAGACTGTCACCCTGCGCCTCGCCGGGCGGCAGCGCTGCACCTTCCTCCGCGAGGAGGAGCGCGAGGTCGAGTCCACATCCAAGGTCGTCAAGGAGAGCACTATCTTCGGCAAGTCCGAGCAAAAGGTGGTCACCCGGGTCAACGAGTGGTTCTGGAAGATCGACGTGGAGTGGGAGCTCGTTGCGTACGCCGGCACGATGGGTGGCCCGCGCCAGCTGCGGCTGCAGGGGCGCTCGGGCTCGGCCCAGCTCAAGACGACAACGTCGGCGACGCCAGAGCCCGCCGGCCAGGTCGAGTTCATCCCGACAGAGGTTCCGATAACCTGGCTGCTGCAGCAAGTCAAGCTGCCGGGGGGACTGGTGGGAGCGGCGCACGTTCTCAGCTTCAAGATTGACCGCGACGCCGAGGGCTGCCGCACGCCCCGGCGCAACCCGCAGGTCGAGGCAGCGCTGCACGCCGCTCGCGAGCTGTGCGCGTGGTCGAAGAGGGTCTGCCAATTCATGAACCAGCGCATCTTCTCCAAGGCGGAGCGCTGCGCAAAGGTGCAGGCGCACACCGGCCGCGGCTTCCTCGCCTTGATCGCCTCCACTCACCAGCCAAGCGAGCTCTTTGTGCCAGTCCTCCCCCTCTTCGAGGCGCGGGCGGCGGAGGAAGAGGCGGACGCAGCCGGCGGCGACGGCGACGGCGGCGACGGCGACGGTACGCTCGTGAGCGTCACCGCGGCGGCGGCCGAGGCGGCGTCCACCCCGGTCCTCCGCATCGGCGACATAAACGCGATGCTGGCTGAGCAGCGGCGCGCATTGGAGGCCAAGTGGGCCACGCTCGCCGACGCCTGCCCGCCAGCGGACGACGGCTCCCTCCTCTCGCCCGTCGAGCTGAAGCTCTCCATCGCGGTCAAGCACTTGGACGACTGCTGCTCGCAGCTCTCGCAGGGCGTCGACTACATCGAGGCGATGCTCAAGAAGCAGCTGCTCGACGCCGTCGGGCGCTTGGTCACTCCCGCAGACTTCCAGCGGTACATGGACTTCCACGGCCAGCGCCTCTTCAAGCCCGAGTATGCGCCCAAGCCTTTCTGCTTCGCCGTCCGCCGCCCCGACCACTACCCCGAGGGCACGCTCACCATCGAGCACCTCTCGCCGGACCGCTCGCGCGGCGCAATCCACACCAGCGGCGCAATCCACACCATCTGCCGCCGTGTGGCCGAGCCGGTCGCGCCGATGAGCTTCGCGCTCGACGCGGCCACGCGCGTCAGCTTTACCGGCGAGCGCTTTGTGCACGCGTACCTCGCGCACCAGTTTGGCGACCCGCCCTCCCCTCCTCCTTCACCACCGCCACCGAACTGGCGGTCTCCGCCCGCGCCGTGCACCAGTTCCGGTGCGTCGGTACTCATGCTGGGCGCACGCGCGCGGCAGTTCTCCTCCTTCATGCTGCTGCTCGGCCGCATGGGACCGGCAGGCACCTTCGAGCAGAAGCACGCCCTCATCTTGCAGAACAAGGACGCGGTCGACATCCCGCTGATGCTCGAGGCGCTGCCGTCGGCGACGGAGTTCCGCGACGCGATCTCGAGCCTGTCGCCGGAGCAGCAGCGCTTCGCCAAGGCGTACCGCGCGATGCAGCTCGAGGGGTCCGTCTTCGGCATCCTCGTCATCCAGCTCAAGCCGCAGCTCGAGGCGCTGCTCAAGCTGCCCCACGACGCGCTGACCAAGGAGATCGCGCTCACGCAGCAGCTGCTCGACCTCTTCATCCAGTACCAGATCCCGTCCGACCTGCTCACCTACGCCGGGCCCGCCTCTGCGTCGCCCGAAGAGAAGCTCGAGGCCGTGCGTGGGCACGTCGCCGCCATCTACAAGATGGTCGAGGCGGCCAAGGAGGGCGAGCTGCATGCCGCCAGGCAGCAGGCGATGATGGAGCAGCCATTTCATGAGTACGCGGAGTCGTTTGGTGACACGAGCGCCGGATTCTCCCTCTTCCAATGCGGCGATGCATCAGCGAGGTCGGCATCACCGCCGGATTCACCGCCGCGCCGCAATGCCCGCAGCATCCAGCGCACAGCCAGCAGCGCCTCTGCCGCCCCCCCACCCCGCCATAGCGCTGCCCAGAAGCGCGTCCGGATGCCGGTCGCTGCGTGCGCAGCCGGGGCGGCACCGCCCGGCTGTGGCCCGCCCCCACCGCCCGGCGCGTCGTTTCCGGCGCCAACCGCAAAGGCTACGCCAGCGCCCATCGCCGGGCCGGCGGAGGCGAAGGCGAACGACGACGACTTCGACACGGCGGACGACGTGGCGTCCGAGCTCGACTACACCAAGATCCCCTCGACGCTCGACGCGAAGCTGCTGACGGCGGAGGGCGGCGCCGCGATCCGGCCCACGACGATTAAGGTGGGCGAGACGTGGACGAAGCGGTCGCAGAAGGCGCTGCTCGGCAAGCCGAAGGAGGAGGCGCTGCACACCGAGGAGCAGCAGCGCGAGAAGCAGGCCGCCTTTGACCTGCTCGACGCGCTCTCGTGCTCGGGCGCGCTGCCGATCGCGTGCTGCTCGCTGCACGTCGTGGTCGCCGCCACGCACGCCTTCGACCAGTCGCTGCTCGACACGGTGATCCAGCAGAACGTCAACCCGATCGAGAAGCTCGAGCGCTCGTCGCTCCTCGTCGCAACGACGATCCACGACGCGCCCGCGGGGCGGCTGCTGCGCGACGAGGTGCGCGAGCGCGTCGCGCGCTTCGCAGCGCCGGAGCTCCTCGGAGGCGACGCTGCCGCAGCGGGCGAAGGCGCGGTCGCTGATCTGCCGTAGTGAGAGCGCGCCGCGGCCCACTTGCACCATAGCGGTGCTTCACATGAGCATGAGGCAGCAGGGGCCGTCTCATGGCACGGTGTGGCGCCCCCTGCTTCTGGGGCGCCGAAACTAGATATGCCTCACTCTCTTGCTCCTGCTTGGGGGCCAGGCCCAGGGTTGGGGGGAGTAGAGATGGTTGGGCATGGTGACTACGTTTGCCTTTCGTACAATGTCATGTGTGTTTGAGTAAACTACGCCGGGAAACTTCTCTCAGTCCACACCAAGACCAACCTGAACCAAAGCCGAAACCACCACGTCGACCTTGCCATCCTGCGCAGCTGGCGCGCCGCTGCTGCAATCTTTTTCGGCAGCGCGACGTCCTTTACGAACGACACGACGAGGGCCCGTCGAACCCTTGGCGACGCGTTGAAAAATCCCCGTGCCTAGTAGTTTTCGGGGCCCGAGCTCGGGTGCGTCTGGTTTCTTTTTTTTACCTGTTTTAGTGCCAGTGCGCGCCAGTCCCGTGCCCAGTGTTGTGCGAGCGCCATGTGTTTTCAAATTCTTTTTTTAGTGCGACACTGGTGCCAACCTCGGCTCACAAACCTTCCGACTAGTGTTTCACGATACCGCCAACGGATGTTCGCCCTTTTCGTCGCCGTCGCGCTCTCCTTTCACGCTGCGCGCCGGCCAGCGGCGCTGATCGGCGGCAAGCGGAGGTGTGACTGATGATCGACTCTGTGAGCTGCCTCCTGCTCACGGGCGCCCAAGCATTTTCGAGCCTCCCGCCCGATGCGCTGCCGAGGCAGCCCTTCACGTGTGAGGGCCACACAACCTCCTACGAAGGCGAGACGGTGACGGGGTACACGAGCTCTTACGAGACGGAGAACGGCGTCACCACATGCTGCGATCAGGCACGCGCGAACGGGGCGATTTGCGGTTTTGAAGTGTATGGCTCGACCTGCGTCCAGTACCTCGGGACACGTTGCACCCTCGCGCCTGCCCCCCGCTGGCTCTCTGATCGGACTCCCCGGACTCCGCGAGCGTCAAAAACAGTGCGGCAGTCGTCGACGGGCAAGCGTATCCGATTATCCAATCGAATGGAGACTTTGACGAGGCCGCTGGCGCAGAATCGATTGCCCAATCTAATGGAGACTTTGACGAAGCCGCTGGCGCAAGCTCCTATCGTCCCTCTCCCGGCGCGATCAAGGTGTCATTGTGTATCACAGCCCGGTGTAGTGCCTCGGTAACCGCAGAACTTCCAAACTGCAACTGGAGGCATTTTTGACGAAATCACCGGCTGCACTTACTTCAATACAATTCACTTACAGCGGCGACGGCCTGCGAATTCTCAAGGTCATCCGAGGGCGGTTTCAAACAAAAACTCACAGAGAATTTTCCCAGTGGCCAAAAGACGAAAACGCTCTTTGTCAAATGCTGCTCCGGGACACCAACAGAAGGTACAATTTCGGCGGTTCAGGTAGGCGAGCCATGGTCCTATCTCAATTTCCTAGGTAAGGGATGGGTGGTTGCAACCACCCAAATGCTGGGTTCTATCTCAATCACGAACTTTGATGGTACAGCCATTACCGGCAGCACTGAGTTGGTCCAGGGGCAGGCAAAAGGCCTCAAAGTTGCCCTGAATGTACCGTCTGTGGGTGACACCACTGTCAACCTCGTGTTCAAAGAAGACAAAGCTGACTGCGCGTTTGGAGCTAGTGCAGGGGATCTTTTCCCTGCATCGGCTACTTCTCTTCAAGCCAAGATAGTCAATAACGAGCAGACGGCAAACTTCTATGTGAAGTGTTACGATACTGCATCTACTTCTCTGGCCAGCAATTTTGTAAGCGGCGTCAACGAATACCCCACGGCGGCAGTTACTGCGGTAATGACAGTGCGAGAAAACGTCTTCCATCCACCCTCGAACGAGGGCTCGGGCAAGGACCTAGACTCGGAGGACCTCACCCTCCTCCTCCTCACCCACACCCTCCTCCTCCTCACCCTCCTCCTCCTCCCCCTCCCCCTCCTCACCCTCCTCCGCCGCCGCCGCCGCCTCCTGCCACACCTGGGCCATCGGAAGCCGGATACAGTCAACCGGAGTCCGGCTAGTCCGTTTCGACTTTTCTTTTATCAAAGAAAAAGAAAACTGTGCGCATCCAACAACTTTAGACGAATTTATTTATTTAGGTAGAACGGCGTTTGCTGGGCCCATCGGTGCAGATGATATCACTGCACGATGTAAATGCGGCCGTGGCAGCGTTTGCGGAGCGCGAGGGAATCAGGGAGGCGAGGAGGGCGCGACGAGAGGCGGAGGAGGCGGCTGTGGCCGTGGCGGGAGCCAGAGAGTTGGCATCGTCGATGCGTGCGCTTCTGGACCGCTTCGCGGCCGCCACCGGAGGGGAGACGGAGGAATCGGCCCGGGCGTTGGATGCGGCGAGTGCGTTTATGTTGGAGGATGCGGCGCATGCCTTTGCGTTGGATGCGGCGAGCGACATCTTCCCGCTCTCGCTTCGTGCCGAGCTGACTCAAGCTTCCGACGCGCTCCAGCACGCTCAGCTGCTAGGCGCTGGGCGTGAGGCGGCAGCGCGCGAGGCGGTAGCGCGCGAGGCGGCTGAGCACACCGCAGAGCGTTCGGCACTCGATCGGGCGGCGGAGCGGGCAGCGAAGAGCGAGAAGGCCGCTGCCGCAGCGCTGCGTGCAGCAGCCGCGACGGCCGCACACCGGGCCGCCGCAGAAGCACAGGGTGGAGCTGAGCGCGAGGCGGTGCGTGCACGGGAGGCGGCGGTGGCCGCGGAGGAGGCGGCGGCGGAGGCGGCGCAGAGGGCGGCGGCGGCGGCAGAAAAGGCAGCAGCCGCGGTGAATTTGGCCACGGATTGCGAGCAAGCAGCTGAGGCCGCTGCGGCGGCGACAGCTGCTGCTGAGGCTGCACGGACTGCATGCGAGGCCGAAGCGGCAGCTGCCGCGGCCGAAGCGGCAGCGAGCTACAACGAGGCGCCTGCAAGGCTCGACCAAGGGTCGTCCTCTTCGGCTGCAGAGGCGCCGGCTGCGAAGGAGGCGGAGCCGCCGCACGACTTCGTCTGTCCGATCACGACCGAGGTGATGAGCGACCCGGTGATGGCGGCGGACGGGCATGCCTACGAACGGTCGGCGATCGAGCGCTGGCTCGCGACCAAGTCGACGAGCCCGCTGACGGGCGAGGAGCTCGACTTCACTCGGCTCTTCCCCAACCACACGCTTCGGCGGCAGATTGGCGAGTGGCACGAGGCGCATGCGGGACGGTAGCAGCTAGCACGGGAAAGGGGTGGCCTCCATGTAGATCGTAGTTGTGGAGATCTTCTTACTTCTAGTTGCGTATCTAGTACTTCTCTGTGGTGGCGACGTGCCCTCCCATCCCTCCCTTGGGTTCGCGATTGCGAGGATTCTTTCTTTCGCTAAGTGGGAAAGTGCCTCGCCGTCCTCTCGCACAGGAGTCGCTTAGGCAGCTCCGACCCGTGGTGTACCTGTGTTAGTGCCAGTGCGCGCCAGTCCCGTGCCTAGAAAGAAAAAAGAAAACGGGCACGCCAAACGAGCAGGATTTTAAAGAAAGAAAGAAAACAGATGTTGGTGGACTCAACGAGCCCTTCTGGACTTTCCAGGACTGCTACTACAGGGAGCGGAACAAGGGTCTGTACACCGCGGACCGGCTCAATCCAAACAACGAAGACCAGCTCCGGGCCATCACGACCCGAACGGTGACCGCCACGGCCTCGAGTGCCCGGAGGAGCAGGACTACTACCCTTACTGGCACCCCACCGTGTGGCGAGATATTGCTGTCATCACCGACACGCCGGACCAATGCGACTTCTCCTGCGCTGCCTCGCAAAACGTCGAGGACTATGGCCGCTGCTGGGACAAGACCACCTACGACTCGCAGGACGGGCGCTGCAGGCAGCTCAGGGGCAGGCCGAGAGACAACAACAACAGCCCTCGGGTGGAGGGCCCAAACAACCAAGTCGAGTGCGAGAAGGGCATCACCGACAACGACGGCACGTTCAGGCCCGGCAAGTGGATCGAGGGCGGGAGCTGGGACACCTGGCCGCCGGACTGCGAGAAGGCGCCCTTCAGCCGCGACAACCACCTCGGCAACGCCGCCGACAGGGACGTCTGGCACGAGAGCGGCGGCACCCGCCACGTCGGGGCCAACCGCTATCGCTGGAAGGTCCCGGCGCGTACAACCGCGAGTTCCCTCTCTGGCGCAAGTACCCGTACACGAGTCTGTTCGAGGACGAGGAGACCGTGCGCAGGTTTGCTTAACTTGAGCAGGAGTACACCTGCTACCCAGCCGGCATGATTGCACCCACGCCGCCGCCTTCGCCGCCTTCGCCGCCGCCTTCGCCGCCGCCGCCGCCGCCCTCCCCCTCACCGCCGCCTTCGCCCCCGCCCTCGCCCTCGCCGCCGCCCTCTTCTTCGCCCTCGCCGCCGCCCTCGCCGCCGACTACTCCGAGTGGGCGCCGCCTGAGTGAGGTGGGAGCGACACCGAGGGCATCTGAGCTCGTTTATGGGCAGCAGTGCGTCCCCAGCGGGCTATGCGACGACAACATCGACCCGAATGGAAACAATAATGGGCAGTGCCTCAACAACAACCCCGTGGCGACCAACCAGAATGAACGCAATAACGCAAACTGTCTCAACAACTGCAAGGATTTGAACGCCGCCACGGGCTACTTCGACGGTGGCCTGGTGCCGCTCAACCCCTGGCTCTCATTGGAGACGACCACCTACAGCTACATGTCGACACGGAACAACGACTTCAGCAACCGCAGTCAAAAGGGGTCGATCGTCGTCCACCCGTGGAAACTCCCCGTCATCCTCGGGGGCATCGACCATCGTCTTCTTCTTCCTATCAATTTTGTCCGCGGCCTGCTCATCGCCGCCCGCTTTCTCACAGCCTACGCATGCAAAGGGTACACTGCCTCTTGCGCTCTCGCGGCGGCTTGCGTGGCTCGCGTCAAGACTTGGGTCGCCTTCGGATCTGAGTCGCACCAACGCTCCGTCAAAAGCTCCGTCTGTGATGTCCACATGGCACCCCGGGGAGAAGCTTCCCACGAGGGGGCGAGCTTTCGACGAGCAGTTTTGCCGGCTCAATCGAGGTCAGTTTGAACGACAACTCGCTTGATACAGAGGAAGACGATGCCGCCATCGCCGCTCAGCTAGCCGCCGCCGGCTTCGATGAGATCGAGCACTCCTCTGGTGTGAGTCCGCCGCGTGCAGTGGGCCGTTCTGCCTGCGAGTCAATGAACTCCCACACCCCGTCGGACGCGACGATGATGAAGCGGTCGCCGTCGGCCTCTGGCGTGTTGGCAGGCGCGGCGCCGAGATCGAACCGCTTGATCTCGGGGTCGGGGATGACGCCAAAGCGCTTGCACTCGCCGTCGCCGATGGAGCGGGACATCGCCAAGCCCACGCGCCCGTCGGCCCACACTCGCGCGGGCGAGGCGCCGCTCGCGCCCGAGACGACCCCGCCCGCGCCGACGATGCGCTCGTACTCCTCGGGCGAGTCCGGCTTGCAGTCGACCGAGTGGTCCCGCGCCCGGATCGCTCCGTCGCGCACGTAGCCGAGCACAGCTCTCGAGTCGCCAGAGCATGCCGTCCAGACGGTTGTTCCCTGCATGTAGACGATGATCGATGTGCGTCAAAGACGCACAGCAGCGCCTCGTTGCACGAGCCGTTGAACGGGTAGTGGAGAGCCTTTGAGCCTTGGCACCAGCCAGGCAGTTGATTTGGCCCTGGCACCAGCCTTGGCAGTTGATTTGGCCTTGGCACCAGCCTTGGCGGGCGGGCACGCGGGACATGCACAGGCGCCAAGGGGCGCAGCGCCGACAATCACGGCGGTGATTGCGGCGCAGGTGGGGGGACGGGAAGTCCGTCGGCGTTGCCGGGGGCCCAAGGAAGCGCGAGGGAAAAATTCCGCCGCTGAGGGCGCTCGTGCGGCAATAGCCGGGTGGAGGGGGGAGCGTGCCGGACGGGGCGTCGTCGCGCCGTCCGATGGTCTGCTGCCCCGCGCAGCAACCGTCGGGCGACGACCCGGGGGCCAAAAACCCGGCGACGACGGCGCTCTGGATGGGGCGTGACCTCCTGCCTCCAACCTCCTTCCTTTTTGAGCAGGTGTGACGCCGCGCGAGCGACGCTCCGAGATCGCCCGAGATAGCGCGGCGCGGCCCCGAGATCGCCCGAGATAGTGCGAGATCGCCCGAGATCGCGCGGCGCGGACCGGGTCGAGCGTGGATGGGTTGGGAGCGAGGGGGCGAAAGTGTTCAGTGCGGTAGATGGTAAGCTCGAGGCGCGTGAGCCGGACTTGTGAGCCGGACCACCCCCTCTTGTTCCCTGCGTTGTTGAGCCAGGACTCAACATACTCGGGCTGTCCATCCCAAACTGTCACTCCCCTTTCTCCCGGCCGGGGTGGGGCGCGCGCGGGGGCGGCGGGTGTGCGGCGGGTGTGCGGGATGTCTGTGGGCCCGAGAGCGATATGCCATGTCCGCCTTGCGTTTGTTTCATAACATCGAAGGCTAAGCTCAAAAGAAAAACCGCAGACGAAAAAACGACACGAAAAAGAGTTTAATCGGAGCTTCACGACTACTGGCCGAAGGGAAGCAAGAGGGGAGGCACGCGGACCTGTAACGGCGTTGTAGGTCCCCTGCGCACTACATAGTCCAATCCCGCAATCGCACATGTGCACCGAGGCCACCGACGCGACAACAAAACAAGCCTCGCCGCTCTCTCGACTACAACGGCTTTGAGAGAGAGTCACGGCCCTCTCAGGCAAGCAGATCGCGCAAGCGCTGTCCTTGCGCCTGCACGGCCGCCACCTGCGGGTGGGCCTGCAGCGCCGCCGCAGCCGCCTCGATCGCGCCCGCGGCTGCTGCGCGCTGCTTGCGTGCGAGCCCCGCGGCGTCGGTGCCAGAGCACACGATGGCCAGCGCCCCGCAGCCTTGCTTCTGCACTTCCGCCACCTGCGGGTAAGCCTGCAGCGCCGCCACGATCGCCTCGATCGCGCCCGCGCCTGCTGCGCGCTGCTTGCGTGCGAGCCCCGCGGCGTCGGTGCCGGAGCACACGTTGGCCAGCGCCGCGCAGCCTTGCTTCTGCACCCCCTCCACCTGCGGGTGAGCCTGCAGCGCTGCCACTATTGCTTCGATCGCGCCCGCGTCGACTGCGCGCTGGCTGCGTGCGCCCCCTGCGACGTCGGTGCCGTAGCACACGTTGACCAGCGCCCAGCAGCCATACTCTTGCACCTCCGCCTCCTGCGGGTGAGCCTGCAGCGCCGCCGCAGCCGCCTCGATCGCGCCCGCGGCTGCTGCGCGCTGGCTGCGTGCGCGCCCTGCGGCGTCGGTGCCGAAGCAAACCTTAGCCAGCGCCCCGCAGCCTTGCTGTTGCACCCCCGCCTCCTGCGGGTGAGCCTGCAGCGCCGCCACTATTGCCTCGATCGCGCCCGCGGCTGCTGCGCGCTGGCTGCGTGCGCGCCCTGCGCCGTCGGTGCCGGAGCACACGTTGCGCAGCGCCAAACAGCCATAATGCTGCACCTCCGCCTCCTGCGGGTGAGCGCGCATCGCCGCCGCAACCGCCTCGATCGCGCCCGCCTCTGCTGCGCGCTGCTTGCGTGCGAGCCCCGCGGCGTCGGTGCCGCAGCACACGTTGGCCAGCGCCGCCCACCCTTGCTGTTGCACTTCCGCCTCCTGCGGATGAGCCTGCATCGCCGCCACTATTGCCTCGACTGCGTCTGCGCCCGCCGCAAGTTGCCTGTTCTGCACCTCAATGCACAGAATAGCCAAACGCTTGCACGCCGCAGCAGCGACGCGGCTGACCGACGCGTGCACGCGCAGCGTCGCCGCCGCCGCCGCAACGGCCATCGCCTGCACCGCCGCATCGCTCGGCGGCGCGTCATGGGGCGCGGCGCCCACGCGCTGCCGCACCCGCCGTCCTCCCTCCTCGCCGCCCTCGCCAGCCTCGAGCGCCGCCACGCGCAACCGCAGTTGTGAGTTCTCCGCGCCCTGCGCTGCCAACTGGGCTTGCAGCCGCTCGTTCTCAGCGCCTTGCGCCGCCACCTGGGCTCGCAGCGGCGCAACCTGAGCCTGCAGCGGCGCCATCATGCGCTGGCACACGGCGAAGGGGCACGTCGCCTCGTGCGCTGCCTTGTCTGCCAGCAGCCCTGACCACGCGCAGCCAGCCTCCGCCGCGGAACACGCTCGCGGCCGCTGCGGGCAGTCTTGCTCGTGTGCGGCGACTTCACCGCGCGTCGTCGCCAGCCCGCAGTGCGAACACGCCGCCGGCAGCGCCGCGATCTGCTCTTCGTGGCTTCGGGATCGAATTGCCTGGCTCAGCGGTCCGAGAGCCATGCGGCACTCGGGGCAGCGGCGCGGGGCTCGCAGGTTGGAGTCGCAGGAGGCGCAGAAGACGTGGCCCTCCCGGCACTGGTGCTGCTGCCCGTCCTGCACCTCCAGGCAGACGGGGCACTCCAGGCGCTGGGCGGCCATCTCACTCAGAAAAGAGAATTTTACAACGCCTCGGACCGCGTCGTCAGAGGGCGTTATGCTGATCCCAGCCGTCGCCAAGAACAGCACGACTGGCTACAAGAACGTGGCCTACGACCGCAGCAAAATGAAGTTCCAGGCGAAGGTGAAGGCTGGCGGCCAGCATGTCCGCCTCGGCTACTTCGACACCGCCGAAGAGGCGGCCACCGCCTACGCTCAGTCAGAGTACGGCCGCGCCGACGCCGCCAAGCTGCTGCAGCCCCGCCCCGCTCCCACTCCCGCTGGCGCCGAGGCGATACGGCAGGCGGAGAGGGAGGGCCTCACCCTCACCGCCAGTAGCAGCAGCAACACCGGCTACAAAGGCGTCTGCTACCGCCCGAAGCAGAAAGGCAGCCAGAAGTACCAGCTGAATGTGAGGGTTGGAGGCAAGATGGTCAATCTCGGCTACTTCGCCACCGCCGAGGAGGCGGCGCTCTTCTACGCCCGCAGGGAGGCGGGCATGGACACGCTCGCCCGCGATCTCTCTGCGCCGCCGCTGCCGCCGTCCTCAACCTCTGCGGAGCTGCCAGTGTACGAGCTCAGCATTCTGACGCCTGAGCAAATGGCCGCCAACCCGACATATAGTCCATCGTCCAATTTGGACTATAGTCGAGCGCGTCGGAGAGGTGTTTGGAGACAGGCTCATGATTATGCAGCAGCCCTAGCGGCAGCGCCAACTTATGGCAGCCCTAGCGGCAGCGCCAGTGCGCGCACATAAAGGGGGGGGGTGGGGGGGTTAGGGGGTGGCTGTCGAGGGCTATGCCCGAGTCTGTTGTTACCAGCGCACATACAATCCTAGCCAGCTTATGGCAGCCCTAGCGGCACAGCGCCAATTTATGGCAGCTCCCTAGCGGCAGCGCGAAGTTAGGGTTAGGGGTTAGGGTTGGGGGGGGTTAGGGGGTTAGGGGGTTAGGGGGTTAGGGGTTAGGGGTTAGGGGTTAGGGGTTAGGGGTTAGGGGTTAGGGGTTAGGGGTTAGGGGTTAGGGGTTAGGGGTTAGGGGTTAGGGGTTAGGGGTTAGGGGTTAGGGGTTAGGTGGGGCGGATGCGTCAGACGTATGCGTAATACGTGAGGCGTAACCCTTGCTGGCCGCCACTTCTCAGTCAAATCCGTCGTGCGTGTGCGTAGTACGTGGGACGTAAGCTCCCAGGTGCCGAGCAGGCTTCCGGCCGAGGTGCCGAGAAGACTTTGTGCAGGGGCTCTGGCCCTGCCCGCCACCACAACACCCCGCAGGTGTCCATGGTGCTGGCTACCGTATCGAGCGCTAGCCGGGAAGCTGTGTGGTCGCACCGCAGCGACCGCACCAGCACTCACGACGGCCGAGTTGCCGTCGATCTCCTCGCTCCGCGATCTCGCCGGAGGAACCATGTAGTGAGCTGTGAGCTGTACACGGAGCGAGGGTCTGTACCGAGGCGTACAGGAGCGATCACACCAAGATCACCATCGTCCTGAAAGGAGACAAAGCTATCGTCCTGAAGGACCACGACGAGACGCCGTCCAGGACACATCCCTCTGGAACAAGGCATCTCGACTATCGGACAGTACTCAACAGGGACATCTCTCTATATACACGAGTGGGGTATTCACACTCCCAACAAAATTCCTACCCACACCCACACCGGCCACGACACCTGGCACGGGACTGGCGCGCACACTGGCACTACCACAGGTAGAGCTCTACACCACGGGAGGAAGGAAGGAATCACAAGCGAGCGCTGCGTGCTGGTCGAGCTGGTCGAGAGGCTGCGTGCCGCGGCGGCCACCTCCCGCCGATGTGGGCCGTGCTTCCCGGCTCGAGCCTCGAGCACGAGCGCGCCAGCGAGGACGAGGCCATCGGGTGGGAGCTTGACGCTCCGCAGCCAGAGCCGGAAGCGGCGACACGCAGGCACAGCGCTGGCGCCACGCCGCGACGGCAGAGCACTGGCGGCCTCTTGGGCGAAGGCGGCCGGCGCAAGGACGTCCGCGTCCGCTTCTGCTGCTACCTCTGCGGCGACACGAGCCACACGGCGGTGGGGCCGGCGTGGCGGGCTGGCGGTGAGGACCGCAGCCCGCGCCACAGTCTTGAAGCGTCGATAGGCGGAGTGCCCTCGCGCCATCTGCATCGCCTGCCTCGGCGTCGGCCACCAGTACGCCGACTGCCCGTCGGGTCGCAAACCGGCCCACTGCTGCAGCCTGGAGCGGCAAGACGGCGCTCCGCGGGCCCGTCCATGACGCGTCCACGGCGGCGGCGGCTCTAGGCCGTTTGCGGCTGCTGCGGCCGTCTTGGCCACGTCAAGCGCGATTGTCCGTGGCGGGCGCCGCCGGACCTGGCGCGGGTGCGCTGCCTCGTCTGCGGCGAGCTGGGGCACACCGACTGCTCTTCCGAGGTGAGACGATTCCGAGAGACGTCCCCGCGAGACGCTCCCAGACACCCTGGCTGCGATGCGTGTGTGTGAAGTGCCGCTCTCACGTGTGAGTGCGAAGGCGTTGCGCATCCGCCCGACCTCGCCACCGCCCCACCCCACCCGCGCCCCGACCTCGCCACCGCCCCACCCCGCCCGCGCCCTCGCCGCAGGGTCGCGGCGAGCGGCCGCAACGCGTCTCGTGCTTCAACTGCGGCCGGTCCGGCCACGACGCAAACGGATGCCCAAAGGCACGTGCGACACTGGCCAGCCGCACTTGCCACCCGCACTTAGTCCGGACACAGACACCACCAAGGAGCTTTCGTGACATAGTTGTAGATTACATGCGGCACTTGCTGGACACCTTCTGAGCACTTGCCAGCCGCACTTGCCAGCCGCACTTAGGCCGCACTTGCTGGACACCTTCTGAGCACTTGCTGGCCGCACTTGCCCTCTGAGCACTTGCTGAGCACTTGCTGGCCGCACTTGCTGAGCACTTGCACTCTCTAGACACTTGCTCGCCACGCGCGCGGAGTGCGACCTCTCACCGACCACGCGCGAGGTGTGGGGAGATGTGGGCGCGCCGCCTTGCGGACGCGGCCGTGACGTGTCCACGACGCGTCCCGCAGGACGGCGTCGACCGCTGGACGCGCCTCTTCGCCGCGGCGGCGGCGCCCAACGCACCCGGCCCCCCGCCCTCGGCCTGGGGAGCGGCGGGTGCGGGCAGCGGCTTCCCCCCGGGGCGCGGAAAAGGCAGAGGGAGTGGGGGGGCTCGCGGCGCGTGGGGCAGCGGCCAGGGAAGCGGCGGCGGTGGCAAGGGCGGCGGTGGCAAGGGCGGCGGCGGAAAGGGCGGCGGCGGAAAGGGCGGCGGCAGCAGAGGCGGCGGCAAGGGTGTGGGCAGCAGAGGCGGCGGCAAGGGCGGTGGCGGTAAGGGTGGCGGTGGGAGAGGCTTGGTTGGGATCACGAAGCGGCGCATGGGAGATAGGGCGGAGAAGGCGCGGCGCGGCGCGAAGCAGGAGAGCGAGGCGCGGCAGCACTTGCGTTGGCGGTAGCCCGCCGACGCGATGTTATCCGATCGGGCTGTCGGCCTCCCCTGCTGACTGCTCTCAGTCTCACACTGCCCCACTGTGCTCTCCTTCTGGTCCATGTCCAGCCAAGTGCGTTTTCTCGCGGCCATTTAATGCGCGCGCTCCCCAAAAAGGGCTCTTGAGTCCTGACTCTCTCTCTCTAATAAAGCCGTACTTGAGTCTCTTGTGTGCCCCATCGCCATTGGGGAGTTGCAGTGTTGGGTTCGTCGGTTCTCGCGTTCTCGCGCGGCTGCTTAATCGCAAATCGGCTCACGTGCGCCTCTTCTCCTCCCGCTCCCTCTTCTTCTCCTCCCGCCACGCGTCCCTCGAGGCCTTGGCGGCGGCCGCGCGCGGGCTCTCGAACTCGAGCAGGCTGGGCAGCTCGCCACGCGAGGCTGCCGTAGCGACGGCGCTGAGCAGCAGCGAGGGCACGATGTACACGAGCGCAGGCTGGCCGCTCTTCGTCAGGTAGTTTGCGGCGAAGGTGCTGAGCAAGCCGGCGGCGTACGCGCCGAGTCCGACCTGGAAGTAGCTCGCCTCCCTCGCCTCCTCCTCGCTGCCGCCGCCCGCGCGCCCCTAGTTGCGAGGAGTTGGCAGTGCTCGTCTGCGGCAGTGTTCGCGTCGTGTGTCTACACCGACACAGCGCCGCCGGAAGGGGGGAGGAGTCACGCTTGCCGCCCGCGCCTGCTCCTTGTCGAGCTCGCGGAGCAGGCCGACGAACGCGCCTGGCACCAGCGATGAATGTGAGGAGGGGGGAGGTTGGCGAGCCATTCTCTCTGCTGACGAGATGGCGACGGCAGCGCAGGAGGGGGCAGAGATGCAGGGGGTAGGCATGGCGGTGGGGTGGGTGGGGTGGAGGCTGCCTGGCACCACCACGTCGCCCAAGCCCAACACCGAGAAGGGGTAGCGGCCTCCAGCGTCGGCGCCTAAAGCGCATGGACCCGAGGGGTATAGCCTCCTGTGCCATACCTGCTGGTGACATCGCCTCTGTCAGGAGTCGCGCCGCCTGCGCCGACGGCCGCCCAAAGGAACTTGGCCGGAGCCTCGATCTGCGTCGCCACGGTCAACATGACGTCAGACTTGAAGACGAAGAAGGCGTCGTAGCAGAAGAGGCCTGCGGTGCGCGATTCGCGGGGAGTGGGACGCATTCGGCCGCCGCCTGGCGCGCGCCAAGAGAGGGGAGGGCGAGGGAGGAGAGAGAGAGAGAGAGAGAGAGAGAGAGAGAGAGAGAGAGAGAGAGGGAGGGAGAGAGAGAGAGAGAGAGAGAGAGAGAGAGAGAGAGAGTCAGGCGCCTACCGGCCACGAGCGGTGCGCGGTCCGCCCCTTGTCTCACGCCCCTTCGAGCTCGGCCGGCGAGCAAGGCCGAGCAGCAACGCCGCCGCCGCTGCGAACGACTCGAGCGCAATCACACCGAGCGAGGTCATGACGATGCCGAAGCCGAGGCTGTCGTTGAGCGCCGCGAAGGCGGGGAGAGACAGCGGCCCGCCCGTTGAGAGCGGCCCCTGCAGGTAGGCCGCCACGACGGCGAGCGAGACGGCAAACGCGGGCGCGGCACCTGGGGACACATGTACATGTCCAACTCTTCCGTGTCGCGGCGAGCGAGGCGGTCGACGCGGGCGCGGCACCCGCATTCATCACCGCCGCCTCGCGCTCCTCGCCCAGCTCGTCGTCAGCCGGGCGGAAGAGCTCGCCTGGGAGAGACGCAGTCCGGCAGCGCCTCGGACAAGGGCAGACGCTGCCGAGACGCTGCCGAGACGCTTCCGCGATGCTGCCGAGATGCCGCCGAGACGCTGCCGAGACACTGCGGAGGGGAGGCACTGATTGTCTGGTGTTCGTGTGTCTGCGTGTCGCTCCAGCGAGCCGTCATCATCTATCTTCCACCCGCGACGGCGAGGCCGAGGAGCGGCTGCAGCAGGTCGGACGTGGCGAGCAGGGCAAAGAGGCACGCCGCGAGGCGGTAGACGGCACCCGGGTCGAGCTCGGTGAACTTGAGGATCGCGTACAGCCCTCCGAGGACGGCGCTCGCAAAGAGAGGCGCCAGCGCGGCGGAGCGAGACGAGATGGGCGACGACTCACCGAGGTCTTGCCGTTTGACGCCGAGGTACACCGAGCCGAGCGCGACGGCAGAGAAGTAGAGCAGTCGCGCTACATTGGAGGTTTCGGGGCCCAGTCCAGCCCAGTCGACCGCTGGGACAAGAGCGACGATTGAGGTGAGGCCGACGTAGGCTCCTAAGTCGCGTCGAACAACCTGGGTCGCAGGCGTTGTCGCTGGCGCATCGCCCTCATCAGCTGCCCTCATCAGCTGAGGTCGCGCGCGCAGCTGCAGCCTGCCCACCTGCGCAGCCGTGATCTGCGCAGCCGTGGGATAATTCCACGCAAGCGTGGGCAGGTGCAAGCAGCACGCCAACATTTGGACCGAGGGTTCGGGCTCCTAGCCGTGAGGGTGTCTTTTGACGTATAGTACGCAGGGTTTGTCGTTTGAGGTGCTCATATGGGGGGTTGAGGACACGTTTCTGTGGTTGTGCGTCGTCTCGCTATCGTTTGCGTATTGTGTGTGCCCTTCCTTACTCTCCGCTCCTGCCTGGAGCGACGCGTATACCATAGAGACGTATTTCACCACGGAGGGCGTGGTCGTCGACGTGGACGACGGCCGCCTCTGGGTGTCCGCCAACCTCAGCTTCCGCCCCGGCCGCACGGTCGAGGGGGAGGCTGCGGCGTTGGGGGCTTTCGTTTCAGCCAGACTGAGCTGTCCGCGGTGCGTGTGCTTTCTTTTTAAAACTCCGCTTCTGGGTGTCTATGTTCTTTTTTGCACAACACTGGGCACGGGACTGGCTCGCACTGGCACTACACAGGTAGACCATTATTTTTTGCCTGTGCTCCAACCGTCCGTGAGAGAGTTGTTTTCGTCGAATTCTTTTTGCGGTACGATCTGATAAGCAAACGACTAAACAGTAAACTAAACTAGATTGTTGCAGATGGGGGACGCGCTCGCGGAGACGAGGCGCAGCGCGCCATATCGGAGAGGTCGGTCGTCGGTGTGGCCGGTGTGCGACGTCAGGGCACAGCCACACAGGGGTTACAGGGGAGGGCGGAGGGGGGGCGGGGGGGGGGGAGGTCTCGAGGCAACGAGGGGGGGGTGCTAGTGGGTGGGATGAGGGGGGCGGGAGAATAAACAGCTTTTCACAGGAGGGGTACGCGTTACGCATGGTGATACCTCACTCGCCTCAGTGCCCCGGCATTTCCGCATCCGGCCCTTCGACCTTCTCATACACATCGCTCTACTGCGTACTCTGACTACCCTGGTATACTCGTCTCGACATAGGCTCACGTGCTCTCGAGCGCCGGGTCCTCACCCGCGCCCCGGCTCAGCAGGGCCGACGTCACCCGCGGGGCCAGGCGCGGTGCATCGCCCTCGCCCTCGCCCTCGCGCGCAGCGGCTGAGGCCTGCCCGTGCGCTGCGGCCTCCCGCCGCTGCTCCGCAAACGCCCAGAGCGTGATCCCGGAGACGGTCAACGGAAGGCCCCACAGGAGCGACGGGTGAAAGGTGCTGGCGAGATGGCCCATCAGGGCGGGCGCGGACAGCGCCGCCGCCACGAGCGGAAGCTGCAACGCGGCGAGGAGAAAGTACACCGCCGCGCCCGCCTGCTGCACGGTTGCAAACTCGAAGGCGGCGAAGAGGGTCCCTGCGCCGCGCGCCGGGCGGCGTGGCGCGAGAGGGACAGGCACGGACGGGGGAGGGAGGCGGCATTCGGGCTTGGTGGCGGCGGGGCGCCTGGGACAGCAAAGGCGAGCACCGCCGCCGCTGCGCCGCTGCAGCCAGTCTCGCGCAGCAGGCACAGCGCACCGGCGGAGTAGTCGTCACGCACGGCGTGCAGCGGCGGCAGGCCGCGCAGCGCCGACACAGCCAGATTCGAGGGCAGGTTGAGCGGGAGCGCGAAGAGGCCCGTCCAGAATGTAGCTCGCAGCACCGACCGCAGCTGAGGCCAGGCGCGTGGGGTAGGTCCCGGTGGCGCCAGGACGGCCTCCGAAAGCACGTTGGCGGCCGCTGCCGGCACTCTCGACACCAGCAGCGCCCACGCCCATCCCCACTGCAAGCTGGTGGTGATCGGCCCGCCAAATCTCTGCGAGGCGACGACGCCAGCGGTCACCGCGGCGGCGGCAATCCAGTGCAGCCTGCCGTAGCTCTTTCCGAGCAGCGATGCCGAGATGAGGAGCGTGATGGGGATGACCGCCTGCTGAATCACGGTGGTCAGGCTGCCATTGTCAGGGCCGAGGCCGTCGATGGCGCTGATCTCGAGGGTGTTTTGCAGCACAAAGAGAGCGGCCAGCCCCAGCCACACCCTCATCCGGACCGGGGCTTGCCTCCGCCGCGGGGCGAGGCCGCTCAGGTCGAGGCAGACGAGGCCAGCGCCGCTGATGGTGCACTGGATAGCGGCGTTGATCTGCATTGTGAACTGCGGCGCGGCGGCCAAGATGAAGAGTTCGCGATAGTAGAGCACCGTGCTCACAGTCGCGACGGTGACGTTGCTCACGCACACGAGGACGACGACTCGCGCCCGGCTCACGCGCATCGGCGCGTCGTGCCGAAGGCACGTTCGCCGCACAAGGCGCGCAGCAAACTGGTTCGGCTCCCCCGGACGGGGCCAGGATTTCAGAATGCGAGGGGGGGGGGACCCACGACGAAAAGACATAATCTCTCGCTCTCTCTCGCTCCCTCTCTCCCGAAAAGAGCGCTGCCACTGGGACTGGTGGTGGCTCACCCCACACGACACACGACACAGCGTCTTCTGATAAATGCAGTATGGAAGATACAAAGAGACGGAGGAGCAACGAGCGCCCTGGCGTGAGCCGAAGACACTCCCTCCGTAGACACTGATCACACACGGGTGGGACAGGGTGGGTCACAACAACGAGGCACGAGAGCGTGCACGACAGAGCGACGGCGCAGCGTACCGCCGTCCAGCTAAAAAGCGGCGGCCGACGGTTGCTGCGCAAAGAGACGCGTCCTGCCGAGAAGGGCACCTCGATCCCCCCCCCCCCCCCCGCGAACGGTTGTCGAGTGCCTGGCCCCTAGGCAAAGAAGAATTTTACCGCTTAAGGGAAAGCGCAGGTCGCGAGACCTCGAGTGTGTGTGTGTGTGTGTGTGTGTGTGTGTGTGGGAGGGCGCATGCGAGAGAGAGAGAGAGAGAGACTCCGGCTCCGGCCGGTAGTCGACTGCGAGAGAGAGATTTTTAGAAGCCAACAAGAAATGTGTGACACAGAGTGATTTGGGCTCGGCAGCTTGTCGACTACCGGCCGAAGCCGGAGTCGGAACCGTACTTCTTCTTCTCGCATGCGTAACGACGCTGCTAGAGATGCCTTTCGGGGCCCAGAGACAAAACTTCTGATGCCATGCGTGACCTAGTAGTGTCCCCAGCTATGGGCGTGTCCACGTTGGAGCCAGGTGTGGATGGAGGCAACGATGCGACATGCGAGTCGACTGGTGTGTGTCGTGTGTGTCTCGCGCCTTGCGGGGGGGGAGCGGAAAGGAGGAACCTCTTCCCAAGAGCACCAACTCTTGGAGCGCCGCCACTACCACCCAGAGCGCTGCAAGCAGCGCCGGGCAATGACGGCTTACCGCCCACCCAGCCCCCCCTCGGCACACCCCGGCAGCCAATGTGTCGTCGTGGTTTCGTATCAAGAATACTCACTCGCGAGACCTCGAGAGAAGCGAGCCAAGAATGACTTCTGGTGGCGGGCAAAGAGAACACCGTTAGTGCCATCGTCGTGCAAAACAGAAAAAGCGGGTTTTTCCGCGTTGTCGCGAGAGGTTTTCTTTCATTGTACTACTGTGCCGTACGAAAGTCTGTGCAGCTTGCGGAGATGACGATCCCGGCGTGAACACGACTAACTGACGGATCCGCTCCTGACAGTCGCACGCGCCGCGCTGTGGCGCGTGCGACTGTCTTTGTTTGAAGTAAAAAGTCGAATCAGAGCGGCGTCGGCGTTGATCTCCGTTTTCCTCCCCTGGTCCCCCGTCCGGCACCGCTCCGGGACGCACGCCGGCGAAGCACCATCAAGCTGCTGTACGGCCCCGGCATCGCCTCCCCTGGCTTAGCTAGACTGAGAGATATTGTGCATATGGTTAGTCTCTACAATATATACATTGACACTGAACCTCCCAGAGCTCGTCCCGGTCCGTCACGGCCATCCTCGGCCTCCCTCACAGCAAAACTACGAGCATGGTAACGGGGGCTCGTTACGGGCCCGTACACTACGAGCATGGTAACGGGGCTCGTTACGGGCCCGTACATACCATGCTCGTAGTTTTGCTGTGCTCCGGAGGGCCCCGGCCGCGGCGCGGTGCGGCGGCGTCACAAATCCGACCACAGAGCACCGGGACGCGGTCGGGCGATCTAAGGCCCAGTGAGGCGTATGCATTGCCTATCCAGGGCTATCACCTGGACCTATCAACAGGCGCCTGCGGCGCCGTGCTCAGGAGCTGCTGTTCACAGCTGCACAGACTTCGTGCGGCACAGTATGTCCGCCTCCTCAGACACGCCGCCGCCCGCCCACCTTCTCGACCTCCCCACGGAGCTCGTCGAGCGGGCCCTCTCTCGCTGCGACAGCCCCGCCGACATCGCTCGCGTCGCGGCCGTCTCGATCCTCTTCCACGCCTCGCTCGCGGAGGCGGGCATCCGCTTGTGGGCGCAAGAGCGCGGCTTGGAGCTGCCGGCGCAGCCAGAGGGCGAGAGCTGCGCCGTGCGGTGGCTTTGCGTTGCTGCCTTGCTGCGCGAGGCCAACCCGCCGGCGAGGGTGGCGGCAGGCGAACGGCACAGCGTCTTCGTCGACGGCGAGGGGCGGCTCTCGTCATGCGGCAAGGGAGTCGTATGGACGCCAGGGCTGCTCGGCCACGGCGAGGGCGTGCTGCGGCTCAACACGCCGACCCGCCTCCCATCGACGCTGGGCGGCGAGCGCGCCGTGAGCGTGTCGGCGGGAGGATACCACAGCCTCGCCCTCACCGCCGACGGAGCTGTCTGGAGCTGGGGTGAGGGATCCTTTGGCCGCCTGGGCCACGGCGACGAGCAGCACCAGCGGCAGCCGACGAAGGTCGAGGCGTTGGCTGGCCAGCGCGTCGTCGCTGTGTCGGCTGGAGGCGGCCACAGCCTCGCCCTCACCGCAGACGGCGCTGTTTGGAGCTGGGGCTGGGGAAGCTCAGGCCGGTTGGGCCACGGCGACGAGCAGAGCCAGCTGCTGCCAAAGAAGATCGAGGCCTTTGGTGGCCGGCGCGTCGTCGCCGTGTCGGCTGGAGAGTACCACAGCCTCGCCATCACCGCCGACGGCGCCGTTTGGAGCTGGGGCTGGGGAGGCCATGGCCAGCTGGGCCACGACAACCAGCAGCGCCAGCTGCTGCCAAAGAAGCTCGAGGCCTTTGCTGGCCAGCGCGTCGTCGCTGTGTCGGCTGCAGCGTACCACAACCTCGCCCTCACCGCTGTCGGCAGTGTCTGGAGCTGGGGCTTTGGAGGCCATGGCCAGCTGGGCCACGACAACCAGCAGCGCCAGCTGCTGCCAAAGAAGGTCGCGGCCTTGGCTGCCCAGCGCGTCGTCGCTGTGTCTGCTGGATCCTTCCACGACCTCGCCATGACCGCTGACGGGGCCGTCTGGACTTGGGGCGATGGAGAAGACGGCCGGTTGGGCCACGGCGACCACCAGACCCAGTCGCTGCCGAAGCTGGTCGCGGCCTCGGCTGGCCAGCGCGTCATCGCTGTGTCGGCTGGACCCGATCACAACCTCGCCATCACCTCCGACGGATCTGTCTGGAGCTGGGGCGGTGGCGACTATGGCCAGCTAGGTCACGGCGACCGGGAGCGCCAGCTCGAGCCCAAGAAGATCGAGATGTGGGCGAGCCGGCCGCCCACGCCTGCTTCCTTTGACGGAGAGGACAGCAGCAACGGAGAGGACAGCGATTCGGACGAGTAGGAAGCAAGGCGGGCAGCGGGAGGGCGAGTAGTCATTGAAGCAGGACCCGGGTAGTAGCGTTTGAGTGGCAGTGGGCGCGAGCGTTCCGTGACCGACATACACACACACACCACACCACACCAATGCAGCGCACACCGCCGCCGCGCGCGCACGACGTGTCCGCACTGCGGGACAGGGCGGTCCACGTGTGATTCCAGCGTGTCGTGTGAGAGAGCGCACACGCGCACTCACTCACTCACACGCGCACTACACAAAGAAGAATTTAGACTCGGGTCGCACAGCACGATTCGAAAGAAAAATTTGTTTTCTCGAATGCGAGCGCATCGCCGATCGATCGCGCGTCGCTCCCGAATGCGAATCATGTCCCGAATGTCGGCCCCAACAAAAGCCAAGAATCACTATGAGAGTCGTGATTTCTTGTTGGTTTTCTAAAATCTCTCTCGCTCCCGTGACGAAAACGAACAACGCACCAGGCGACTGCCTGAGAACGCTGGATCGAATCGTAGGAGGCACCTAGAGCAAAATTGGGCCCGCTCAGGTGTGTGAAAAATTATAAGGGTCAACCTGCCAATTCGATCCGGAAGCCACTCGACCACCGAGCGGCCGACGGCCGAAGTAAGCAGAGTAGATGATGGTCAGAGGTAGCGTTCAAATCAGCGACCGATACCCGTAACACATTACCGGGGGAATTAGACACAACAGATACGCACAACCGACGCCCGAAGTGCCAAGAAGGACGTCATTAGTACGAAACCTCAGAAGGCCATGGGCGCCGAGAGAACATTCCCTCGAGAGGACAAAAGAAAGCCGTCGCACCCCCTCCTTGCGCAGTGTCCCCCGCTATGTGTCGCCAATTGGGGCACGCTATCCTGTGCAGTCAGGGCAAGCGGGGGCGGGACGCAGTCCCATCTCTCCTGTGTACGGGTGGGTTCTGTCTCCAGTCTAGATCGCAAGGGCGGGGGCCTGTTCCTTTTTACCCATCTCACAGTAGAGGTGTCCGTTTTATTTATTTATTTACGATAGGGACCAAATAGAACGAACAGAGGATTTCACTCAGAGTCCCACCCGAAGACATGCTCGAAGAGTCCCATGCATTGCAAGCTAGCAAGCAGCGCCAGCCGCGCGCGGGGCGCAGCAGCCACCGCAGTATCTGGTCGAAACGCCAACCCCCAAAACAAACTCTCTCTCTCTCCCACCCACCCCCCCAGATCCGCGTGCCATTTTCCCTTGATGCGCGCAGAGCGGCAAAGTGCCCGGCCAATGGTGCGCCAGGGCGCCGGCGCGCTCTTAGCCAAAACAATCGTAAAAAGAAATCACGCAAATTTGAACACCTCTCGGCCGCTCGCCCTCCCGGAGCATCCGCGGCGTCGCTTATTTGGCGCCCCAGATGGCGGAACGGGAGTCCGCTCCCCAGACGCCGGAGTGGCTGACCACCGCAGCAGGCATTGTCGACGGTGGCGGCGGCGGCGGCACGCGTCGAGTACTTCGCGACTTGCCCTCCAACTCGACACCCATGCGCGAGATCAAAGCGCAGATGGCGCGCATGCAGCAGGAGGTGGCGAAGGCACGGACTGAGGCTGCCGCGGCAAACCAGCGCAATCAGGTGCTGGAGGCCCGTCTCGGCATTGCCAAGACGGGGCACGTCATCGACAGCTCGACTCGGATCGCGAGCTCGCTCCGGCGCCGACGGGCCGTGGTCCAGCTGCAGAATGCGCGGGCAGCCTGCGTTTGCATGCAGGCCGCCTGCCGCGGCTTGCGCGCACGTAAGCTGTTGCGCATCTGGAGCGCGTGTGCCCTCAAGATTGAGGCCTCGGCGCGCAGCTGGCTGGGTGTCACCGCCTACGCACGGGCTCGGGGCGCGGCTCTCGAGCTCCAGACTGCCAGCCGGCGCTGGGCGGCGCGGCGCGAGCTGCGCCGCGCCCGCGCAGCAAGCATCCGCTTGCAGGCGGTGCAGCGGACCCGTTCGATGCGGCGGGTCTTCATGCTGCAGCGCCGCTCGGCCTCTCTTCTCCAGGGGGCGATGAGGCGGTATGCATCTACCGTGCTGCACGACCCGCGTGTCACCAAGAGCTCGCTCCGGCTGGAGATTGTGCGCTTGCGGCAGCACGTGCACTTGCTCACCGCTCCGAGCGAGCCTAGCGAGGCGAGTCGCCAGGCTATGGCTGCGCGCGAGGCACGGCAGCAGGCATCCAACGCGGAGAGCGCCGCGACGGCCGACGCGCCCCACTCGAGATCACCCAAGCGTCGACCGAGGTTAGGCTCGGCGCATCCGGAGCGTGGTCGTCACCTTGGGCATGCCGTCGACTCGACGCGCGGCCTCTTCCTCCTCACGCCGAGGCGCGAGACGCAGCTGGCGGCGGAGGCACGCTCGCTGATCTGCCTCGCCACCAGGGAGCGACGGCTCGTGCCACCGCGGCGGCTGGCCGCCTTCGCGGGCTTGGCGCAGTCGAGCTACTTGGCGGTCCCGCTCGGCCGCTTCATGCTCCGGGCGCTGCACGACGACCTGGCGACGCGCCGAGGCTGGCGCTCGCGGGACGGCGTGCGATTGGGTCGGCAGTCTCTGGCCGATCTAGGCTGGTGGGCGGAGCTGCGCGGCTCGAAGCACGTCGGCCGAGCCATCTGGCGGCCGGCGGAGACTCGGCTGCTCCACACCGACGCCTCCGACCTCGGCTGGGGGGCGGCCGTCGACCTCGCGCAGCGCCACGCGCCGGCCCACGGCTTCTGGTCGCCGGACGAGCTCCCCTTCCACATCACGTGGAAGGAGCTCGTTGCGGTGCGGAAGGGGGTACACACACACACACACACACACACACACACACACACACACACACACACACACACACACACACACACACGCACACACTCCATACGCGATCCTGCTCTCGCTCCGCCGCTCGTGCGCCCCGCGCATGTCGGCTTTCTCATGCCTCCGGCCTCCGAGCGCCCTCCTCGGGCGCTCGGGCGGTTGGGGATGGCATATTGGTTCCCTGGGCGTTCACTAGCGCTCGCTTGTGGGTGAGAACGGCGTTCTCTGGGTAAGCTCAGCTGTGAACTTCCCAGTTGTTTGCTCTCCCTCCCCCCTTACCCTGTGGTCATGTGACTTGCTAGCGGGACCTGAGTATTGTATAAAAATACTGTAAGGCACATCGGTTCCCTGGGCGTTCACTAGCGCTCGCTTGTTTGGTGAACGATTTTTCGTTTGGCAGTTGCATCGGTGGGAAATCGCTTTCAAGGCAAAACCCGATTTGTTCTGGGGCGCGTTACACCGATTCGACCACTAAATGTGACGTGTGGGAAGCCAAAAACCTCCCTTGGCTTCCCACACAAACCAGAAAGAAGGTCTCACAAACCCCCCTTCACAGGGGGAGCAGCAAATGAGGTAGTCTCTGCGCAGAGACTGTCCCAGTGAATTCGCCCTAAAGGCCTCCGAGCTCCGTGTGGACTCGCAGCTCCGGCTGGATGTCGGCGACCTAAAGCTCGGCGGTCGTCGCTCGCGGTCCCCGCGCCGCGGCGCCGACTGCGAGTGCGACTCCAGTCTCCACCTGTGGTAGCCGAAGCCGTGGCGCGTGGGTCGTGGGTGTGGAGTGTGGTGCGTGTGTGGATTTTATCATTTCCGTGCCCAGTGTTGAGTGCGGAAGATCGTTAAACAACACGCTGGCGCGGACACCCATCAACAGCGTCACAACACGGCGCCGAACCGTAAAAGATCGAGACAGCGGCGGAGGACGGTAAGGCAGGCGTGGTGCAGACGTGGCTTAGCGGGGATGGGCAGGTTGACGCAACGTGCGTGCGTCGCGGTCTTCCGAGTCGCATCCGAGGAGGTACGAACTCAGCCCGGGCGCGGCCACGCGAGGGCCGTCGCTCTCGTGGGCTCGGCCCCGTCCGCGTACTGCCATGCGCCGAAGAACGTGGAGAGCTTCGTGCTCAGCGCCTTGCGCGAGTGGCCGGGCTCGAGCAGGTCGGCAAAGAGCCAGCCCTCCTCGCGCGAGCCGGCGGGCAGGCCCGAGTCGCGGCAGCGCGCGACGTGGGCGTCGAGGGCCTCGCCGACGGCCCTGGCGGTCGGGTAGCTGCGGACGAGCCGCTCGATCTTGGGCGCCGTCATGCCGTCGAGCGAGAGCAGCATGCACGCGAACTCTGCGCTCGAGGAGCGGGCCGGGCAGGTGCGCGCGCAAAAGGCGCCAAAGGTGGAGAGCGCGCCGGCGGCCTGCAGCTCGGCGCCGCTCGTCGCGGCGCACGCGTGCGCGAGGCGGCGGACGGCGGTGGCGAGGAAGGCCATCGTGTCGGCCGTGCCGCGCGTGCGGTGGGTGAGCAGCCCGTCGACTACCTCGATCTTTGCGAGCTCAAGCCGCATCCTCCGCCGCTCCGCGGCGTGCTGCCACCGCTCGACTGAGCCCTCGACGAGGTAGACGGCGCGCGGCAGGCCGCAGCGGCGGAGCCGCGCCTTTTGGGAGTGGTAGTGCCCTATCTCCCCATATCTCCCCATATCTCCCCATATCTCCCCCCATATCTCCCCATATCATCGCCTTTTGGGAGTGGTAGTGCCCTATCTCCCCATATCTCCCCATATCTCCCCATATCTCCCCATATCTCCGCGCCTTTTGGGAGTGGTAGTGCCGCCCGTCGCGTAGCGTGGCGATGAAGTCGGACGTAGCCTTGCGCTCGACCACGGTGTCGAGGCAGAGCGCCTCGCTCCACGCGGCAGGCGGGAGCTCGACCGCGCCGCCGCCGCCGCCCGCTCCCGGTGCGGCGGCAAGCAGGGCGATCGGCAGCGCCACGATGAGAAAGTCGCCGACGGGGAGCTGCCGGTTAGGGTCAGGGTCAGGGTTTAGGGTCAGGATCAGGGTTAGGGTCAGGATCAGGATTAGGGTCAGGGTTAGGGTTAGGGTCAGGGTTAGGGTTAGGGTCAGGGTTAGGGTTAGGGGCAGGATCAGGGTCAGGGTCAGGGTCAGGATCAGGGTTAGGGTCAGGGTTAGGGTTAGGGTCAGGGTTAGGGTTAGGGTTAGGGTCAGGGTTAGGGTTAGGGTCAGGGTCAGGGGTTAGGGTCAGGATCAGGGTTAGGGTCAGGATCAGGATTAGGGTCAGGGTTAGGGTTAGGGTCAGGGTTAGGGTTAGGGTCAGGGTTAGGGTTAGGGGCAGGAT